CCTGGTGGTGAAGTTGGCAGTTTAAATGTGCACTCACTAGATGGCACTGCGATCACATAAGGGTGGTGTATCCATAGCCTTGTTCGAGGAATTGATTAGTGGGATATCTTGTTAATTAAATATCTTTGATTCAAGGTAACAGAGGTAAAACGGAAAAATCACTTTATCTCTAACACCAAACGTCCGATTGTTATGATTTTTTTTTCTACAAGTAGAAGTTAATGCGTGCTTTCTGCTGTGAGAATTTCAATATGATGGGGTTTGCAATTGATTAAAAAAATATATTCCACACCAAAGGTAAAACGGGGAAATCGCTATATCTATAAAACCAAACGTCAGATCGGAATAATTTTTTACTACACTCAAAATCATTCATGTTTCGCTTAACTGTCTGTTTTGCTCAATTCTGCGTTCATCGAAAAAAATAGAAGCAATGAGAATACGAACGGCTCACACAAGCTATTGCTCGTTTCCGATGTTGTATGCGTTTGAGTGAGTAGTAAATTCAAAATTTGAAGACTTTTCCCATGTTTGTTATGCAGTATTATTTTACATGTTATTCTTATTTAATTGTATGTTCTTAAATATTGCCCGTATTATTTCATTATATTATTATGCTTAATATCTTAGTATATTCTAGAATTTCAAGAAAACCTGAAATTGAATTCAAAGCTAATTTAAATGAAAACTCACAGGACTTTCTGACGAGCAGAGCTCCAGTTAACACCAGAGGAAAATTTCAAGGACATTCTGAAGATAATTTCATGAAGTTTGTTGGAGAAATCAAATCCGGAGCATAAGTCCTGGATATTTTAAGATAATTGTTAAGGGATGAGAGGGGGGGGGGGTTTGCGAAAAGGAGGTTTACAAGTGCAACTCCAAAAAACAGTAGAATTTGCGAAACAAATTATGGGGAGGAATCTAAGGAAGTTCTGAGGGGAAATGCAAATGAATTATTAGGAGACTTTCAATGTGAGTAGGATTTCAAGGGAAGGAGTGAGATTCAAAAGGAAATCTAAAATGAATTCAATGTACATACTGAGAATCTTTTCAAAGTGTTTCTTACTGAGGTAAATTCCTAGGTAATTCCGAGAAAAATTAAAAAAATTGAATTTGGAGGCAATTTTAATGCAATTGTATAAATTATTCTAAGTATATTCTGGTGGTATTTTTTAATAAAATTCAGAGAAGCATTCCAAGTAAATTCCTAGAATAATTCCTTGGGAGTTTTGAGAGAATGCCGAGGAGAACTCCATGTGAATTTTCATGAGAAATCTCCGTTGAATATGGAATGGACTATTCTGAGGTCTTCAGAACCAGGCCTGGCAAATGTCATTTTCAATGAAAGATCTCACGCGATATTTACAGAGATACTTCTGTCACTATCATCGGATGTGAAAACGATAATAAAGAATTTCTTCAAAATCTCATCTTTTTTTTTGTTTTGACAGAACGTGACTGTGTTGTGATCATCGTGATTACTAACTCATTTATCGCTATTAAAGTTACTTGTACCTAGGAAATCTTAAAAATATATTCACTCTACCGATTACATACGGTTGCTTGCTTAAATTCATCTAAATAAGTTAGAAATGTTGATGTCAAAACTGCATAAGAATTATTCTCATGAGTGCTTGATCATTGGAAAATGACAAGAAAGCAATTGATAGGTAGGGAAGAGTTCTATCGAGCAGAAATCATCAATAATATCAATGATTTCACAATGCACAAAACAATAATACGTTTGTTCCGATGCGTCAGTTCATTAGCTACAACATAAATCCTATTAGAGCGCATTGTATGCATATTTACGCTTATTGTTCTCAAAACAAAAGAAGCGCTCCTAGCCCATCCCCTTTTTCTCCGTTTATCCGTAGGACGAAGGAAATCTAATGGCGTTTCAATGCGTTTGGACGGAATTGAAACGCGTAGGACGAATTTAGAAGCAAGAAGCAGTGTTAGATTTTTAATAATATCTCAACATTGTTTAACTTTTTATCAAATCCAACGGTACGTATGGAAAGGTGGATAAATTTAGAAGTTATCTTTGATGAAAACATTCCATGTTTTGTTCTAACCCTTTCCAAAAAGCGTGGTAAAGTGCGCGATGTCCTTAGTAGGACGGAAATTAGATCAAAAACCCTATTTTCGTCTCGTAATAGTGAGAGGACCTAATTTCTCATTGTCACATGACGGCCGTGATATTTACCAGCTCTGTTCAGAACTACTTGAAAGTTCCCAAAATTTTCCTGAAGTTAATGAAACTAGCCTGATGCTCAGAATACTTTTCATCGAATTTTTAAACTTCCCTTAACTTTTTCGGTCTTCCTAAAGTTTCCTCGATTTTCCTAACGATCATGAATCTTCTCTAAAATTTTAACATTTCGCTGAAGTTCTCGAAACTTCTATAAAATGTGTGTAATTTCCCTAATGATAGCGGAACTGCTCTGAGGTTCTCGGATCTTTCCTGAAGTTCTCGAAACTTCTCTAAAGTTTGTGCAGTTATCATGAAGCTTGTTGTACTACCCTGAATTTAATTGAACTGTCCTAAAATGTTTAAGCTTCCGCAAACTTCTGAACATAACCCCATTTATGTTCTAAATATCTCTGAAGTTATCTGAAAATCTGGGAACTTCTTAAATTTTTCTCCCCCTGAAATTCTCGGTATTTTTTATTATTTTGAAATGCTTCCGCATTTTGCTAATGTTCACGAACGTTCTTGAAGTTATCGGATCTTTCCTCAAGTTCCATAGTCTTCAATGAAGTTCTTGAAATGTTTCTGAATACCTCTGCATTTCTGTGAAGTTTTCTAAGTTCTTCTGAAATTTCTGGACTTTCTTTATGCTCCCGCAATTTTCTTGGAATCAATACGGAATAATTAATATAGGGGAAATGGCTCTAATGTTGACCTATGGATCTAAGATTGGGCACATCGCTAAAAATCTGCTATTTATCAATTTTATCTAGATGAACGCGTCATTGGGACGGCATGGATATTTTTGGTCGCTATTGAAAATTTAGTCGATTTCTGAATTCATATATGGGCATTTAGACCGACATTACATCCATTTCCCCTAGTTCTATGGTTTTCACTAAACTTCTCAAGTTTCTCTGAAGTGCATGGAACTGCTCTTAAATTATCGGCACTAATTCATAAGGTCTGCTCCTGTACTTGCTCTTTTGCTTTTCCTATAAGTAGCTGTAAGAAAATTATACAGGAATACTCCGCTTTGCGCGGTGGGTAGTGCCGTCTACCCACCGCCATTTCTCAACAGTCTTTCAACCAATTGAAGTGACTTTTTGTGAGTGTCAAGTTTGTGGTTGGCCCAAATTACATACATACATCCTGCTCAATTGGTTGAAAGATTGCTGAGAAATGGCAGTGGGTAGACGGCACTACCTACCGCGCAAATCGAAGATTCCTGTATTATTTGCTTACAGCAGCTTACAGCAAAAGCAAGTACGGGAACAAACCTGTAACTTCTTCAATAGTCAAAAACAATTTCTAAGAATTTTTATACACAGTTTTCTAGAAATCAAATTAATATATTAATTTTATACACTTCATAAACGCTTACGTAACTTTGCCTTAAATCACTATTTTTCCCAGAACTTATCTGGACATCCCTACACACTAAGATTTTTTTTACAGGAGTCAGTATTTTTTACTGGGTTTTTGAATTGCTGAAAAAGTCGGTAAAAATTCAAATGACCGTTATCCGTAAGGAATCAATGAAATCGACCAATTTTATTTTCTATCATTAAATGGGGTTAACATAACTAAGTATAAACAAGTTCAGAACAAATTTTCTAATTAATAAATTTTCCAAAGATTTTTAAACTTTTACCGAACAGTTCCGCAATTCAAAAACTCAGTAAAACCGTACTGAAATTCTCTAAATTTGATTATGTTTTTAAAAATTTTGTTATTTGAAAATTATGTTTAACACAAATCTACTAAACTAGTTTTATTCAATACCTTTCGAATGTCCTTTAAATAATTATAATTGGACCAAAACTGGCACAGTTATGAACATAAACATTTGTATGTTTTTTTTTTCTGTTCAAAATTGCTTTGGAAAAAATTTCATAGTTCTTCAAAGAGACTGCTTCCTGAAAATCTAGTCCAGTTCAAGTATCTTGACATTTTTAAAAGAGAGGAAGATGTGCATATTTTTCCAATTTGGCATCGAAGTTCATGGGTTTATCCCGGTATTTTTTTCCGCTGATATCGAGTTTCTGGCATTTTCCGGTTTCCCGGATTATTGTATTTAACACTTGAAGCTGGACTCCTCAAAGGTGCAGAATCGCTAATAAATGTGTGCTTCGATGATGTATCGTCTTGGTTTCTTCAGCGTACTTTTTCGTTCGTTAGATTAATGAACTTTGAACTAGGAACTAAGCATACTGTAACAATATACTAACTTTTATTTAATTTTTGAACAAATTGTTTATTGCAATTCAAGTAGGAATGTCGAAAAAAGTGACTTCAGTGACTTTTTGTCGAAAATATGGACTTTTTAGTAACCAGCCTGTACTCACAAAATCCGCGAGTTTTACTACCTGCACGTTAATACGTCTTACGTCTTACACACTAAGATTTTTTTACAGGAGTCAGTATTTTTTTACTGGGTTTTCGAATTACTGAAAAAGTCGGTAAAAATTCAAATGACCGTTATCCGTAAGGAATTAATGAAATCGACCAATTTAATTTTCTATCATTAAATGGGGTTAACAGAACTAAGTATGTACAAGTTCAGAACAAATTTTCTCATTAATAAGTTTTCCACAGATTTTTAAACTTTTACCGAACAGTTCCGCAATTCAAAAACTCGGCAAAACCGTACTGACTCGATTAGTGTGTACTACCTGAAAAATACGATAGGTAATATTAACGTAGCTTTGCAAGCGAATATTACGTGAATTTTTCCTGCAGTGAATGAAAGACAAGTTGGCGTATTTATAAGAATTTCGGATATCTACGAACAACAACAAGAGCATTTATTTAAATGTTTATTTTTAAATTATATTAACTGAAAAAACGGAAAAATTACCGAAAAGAGCATAGACCTGGCTCAGGACATCTGATAAATAGCATAAAAAATGAAGAAGAAAAATGTAAAGGCAGAAATGGCAAAACTTTTATCGTACCACTGAAAATGTTTTAAACACTTCAGGTGACAAAAAAAATACTGATATAAAAAATAGCATAAATAGTTTCAAGCTGTCTGATTGGTTTGTTTTTAAGGCCATCATTTTGTGTGTATTTCAATGTCAATCAAATCGAAATATACTACTCTAAGTAACCTAACTCCAGTACCTATGATGTTCTCTTGCTGTTTAGCATGAATTGTAATTGGTTGGTATATACTTTAGAGTTGCTTAATACGTTCTTTTGACACTCATAAATAGATTAATTCTTTTCGCTACTGTGCTGGTTGCTGATGGCACCTAATTTCTTATATTTTTTTTGTAAATATTTAGTACGTTTTCGCTAATTTGGCTTGAAGGCTAACATCAGCTGTTGGTAGATTGGAATGCGATTTTTAAGTGCTACTATTGTTGTCATTTTTGTTTTGCCCAGCTGGAATGTTTGGAATGTTGCACCACTTTGATCTACGTTCAGGTTTTCTCTAAGAGCACTCTATTTCTGTTTTGTGTCACCGTCTTACCCCTAGGAAGACTAATCTTGCGTGTAATCGGAAATTTGTAGAGAAAATTTCATTTGTTCGTTATAACATTTTTAAGGCCTACACGAACGATCAAATGCACTTTATACTTTTTTTTATTTAATTTCATATTTTAACATCGATTGAAGCTTGTTTGCCCTCTAACAATGACTTAAGTGGTAAAATCTATCTCCGATAGTAACCATGCTTGTCTGCTGCCCTAGTCGTTGTGTGGAAAATTCAACTGTTTTTTTTTCTTATCTCTTAAAACCTCAACGATCGTTAGATCGCAGGAAGTACTTTACGGAAAATAACGAATACACAGGATGAAGTGGAATAACCTTACATATGTCTGGTGTTGCCAAAGTTGATGCCACTTTGGGTTGCACCCTTATTGGAGCCGTACTGCAGCGAGATGACCGTCTGTCCAGCCCGCAGCTGTTCATCACTGAACTGGCGTTCGTTCTTGTCCGCTTCCTTTGGTCCGATCGAAGGCTTTCCATACTTACCGGCTTTCCGGCCGAGCGACTGAAGGCAGATGACTACCGAGTTCAGGTTTTGCCGTTCCCACAAGTCGACGGTCTGGAAGGTTTCCTGCGGGGGAACGCCAAACTTTTTCGTCGCCTCCAGGAAAGCGGAAATGTTCTCCATACACTTGAAGGCCATTTTGCTGGTGTTGACCTTCTTGACCGTACCGACATCGATCGCGTTGGCCAGGTTACACAGCAGGACACCATCCTTGAGCACCTCGTAGAAATTGTCCATCTCGCCGGAGGTGTTGATCGGTTCGCCGGTGACTTCCTTGATCCATTCTAGACATTCGGCTGCGAGCTCTTCGCTGTATTTGGAGTTAATCTGAAAAGCAATAGGAAACGGTCTTCATTAGTAATGCACACGTATACCCACTGTTAACACCTCCGTTGTTCTATTCGACAAATTGGTACAAAACGTTAATGACTACAAAACACTTCCATTTCCTTCTACGATAATGGAGCACAGCTAGGGATCGAAACTTGTTTCTGCGGGCGGTCGTGCGAATCGAAGATCAGCGCTGCACACACATCGAGGGGGTCGAACCTCCCTTCTGAAAATGGTCATGTAGCCGGGCAACTCGAGCCAACGAGTGGCACAGAGAGATAAGGCCATTCGACAGACCTTAAAAAAACGACCGAACGAACGAATGCCAAAATGGTTCGGCTTTCAAGTGTGAGAGAATTGCGGCTGGCTTGCGTTTGTGCATTGGAATGTCATTCAGTTGATTCCATTAACAATAAAAATGCATTATAGAATAGGGTAATGAAGTGGCGCAGACAGGATTTATGTGTGTGGGGGGAAGGATGAGATTATAACGTTTCCCAATAGGGTTGTTTAATTTCGAAAAACATACTGGTTTTTATAGATCATTTGACGCTTTCTGACCACAACGATATTTTTATCGATTGCATAACCATTAGACTGATGCAAAATTTTAAATTTTCGCTCAACAGTGCTTAAACGGTTCCAAATTGGATCCTGCTTAGCCTCCCAACATTTGAACTACTTTAGTAAGAAACTGACTTGGCACAAACCATTTCAAGTTTATATGGGAATTACTATGGGGAAACTTATGTTTTTGTTCATATCTATCTAACAATTCACCACATCACTATGCTTTTAAAAATGACAGCAAACTTTCTCAGCTACAACTTTATTGAAAACCATTTTTCAATCAAATGTAAGGAACAAAAGTTATTAATGATTCAAGTCACTGATGTCTTATGATTATGCTCATTCAACTGTTCAGCAGGCAGCATTGGTGTTTCTGGTGCGAACAATAGAGCACAAATATCATGGCTACTATGTCACACTGCAGAATACAGTGTTGCCCACAGTACAGCTGCTTGATCATTCCATAAGATTATCAATCTCTTAAACAAGTAATAACAATTTAATTTGGCTGAAAAACAATATTCCGCAAAGTTGTAGCTTATTTCCCGTAAGAATAGTTATAGAAATTTTCGAAAAAGCAATATGGAAAATGGGTAGAAGACAATGAACAAAAAGTTTTTTCCCATTGTAATTTCCATACAAACTTCGAATAGTTTGTGCCAAGTCAGTTTCTTACCAAATGAGTTTAAATTTTGGGAGGCTTAGCAGGATCTGATTTGAAACCGTTTGAGCACTGTGGAGGGAAAATTTCAAATTTTGCAGCAGTCTAATAACCATTCATTTCGATTTTTAAATCAAGATTTAAATGTTTAATTTTTGACACTGACTACAGCTCGCACCCATACAAAGTCCCACCGAGGAGCGCTAAAATGGTGTAAAAAAATAGTTCCAGTGAAATAGTTCCAGTGAAATTGACGAAATTTTGGATTTCGGTTCCATTTTTAATACAGAATACGTATGTTTTTACCTCAATACCCCTAAACAACCCAATTGCGTTCTTGAAGGGCATTGAGGTAAATGCATATCCGTAATCTGCATTAAAAATGGAACCGAAATCCAAAATTTCATCAATTTTTTGTATACTGGAACTATTTTAAATAAATGCGATTACATTAGCGAAAATCACCATCTTAGCAAACAGTAAAATTATGACATTGCTTTAAATCTTGATTTAAAATCGAGATGAAAGTCTATGGGTTCGAAAAAATAAAAACTCTTTTTATTCATACACAGCAAACAATTAATTTTGATATCACATTAAAGTGGATGCACTTGAATCGTGTCAAAAATATGGTGTAATCTTACTTTTAAAAAAGGACAAAATTATCATTAAAACAGTGCATGAACCGACATTACGCTGCTTTTACTGCATTTATTTATTTTTGTGGTAATACAAATTACATGAGATTTTCGACATGATTGAAGTGTATCCTTTAGGATGTAACATTAAAATTTATTTTTTGATGTGTACGACCTAATTGTTGTTTATTAATTTATTTGATAAGGCTCAACCGAATTAACTTTACAGAGCCGAGGATTCTTGGTCACTATATAATACATCTTAAAACTATAGTCAAAAGGTACAACACAATAAACACTTTATCTTCCGCTATTCAAAAAGCCTCCTCCATCAGAACTGGAGCCGCTTCCAGTTTTTTCATTGTATGGCAAATTGTTGTACGCCAACGAGGGTCAGAGCGCGTCCATTGCAGCAATGGACGCAAAACGTGGTCAGCACTCACACACTCATCACTAAACGGTTGCTTTCCAAAGTCGACGACGCATCGACCGAAAGAACTGCTGATGAAGAACAATGAGGAGGACCACACAATGGTTGCTGCCGAGAAAACAGACGATCGAGTAGCACACATCGAGAGTGGCCTGCTTTTGTCGACAGCCGAGTGAACACTGTGTACGACCTAATATCAACAATCAATACGAAACTAACGATTTTAAATTGGCTCACTACTTGACTAGCCTATTGGTCCCAACCAAACGATTAACGTACCCCATTCTAGTCGAAATTCTAGTACAACACAATGTTTGTTTTGATTCACTATGAAAGTTTGACAGATAAAATGAGGGGTTATTGGATTTTCCTATGTTTCGAGGGGTGAATCGATTAGCTTGGGACCGAAGATAGTACCAGAGGTGAGCCAAAAAGTTGAGCACGTTATTTCGGGACCTACTAGTCTTAGAGTTACCTCTATGCTAATATCAACTACGAAATGACGCGGCAGCTCATAGAAGCTACATTGACATTCTTGCCCAAGATGCCATATTTAAAATACGTTGAACACTACCGCCTTCTACTCATCCGATCGTGTCATATCATGGACACGAATACACGTAAAATTTATATTGACTTGGTTTGCGTCTCATCTCTTTTGACAGATCGAATTGCGGACAAACGAAATGCTCCGGTTGCATGTCGGTTAGTCAGTGCTAATATCATGGGAAACAGATAGAATAGGCTTGCTAAATAGGGTAAATGTTGGCTTCGGCACCCATTGACTGTTTTCGGCAACCAAAATTTAAACGTTAATTTCACTATGTTTTCCCATCAACGCACTTCCCTGAATGTGTCCAAACGATTGTTTAGCCTTTCAGCTTCAATCTGATTATATTTGAACGATCGAGCAATCCAGTAATGCTACATTTTTCTTCAAATAAAGCATACGCACTACAAAATGGGGTTGATTTCGAGTTGCCGATAATAGAACAGCTGGTTAACACGCAGTTCTAATGGGAAGGTTGCCGAAGAAAAAGAGGCTGCCGACAATAGTCACACTCACCTGAGAAGTTTGGAGCGTTGTAAAAACGCTTTCAAAACGTTTTGAAAAATTCTGTCGATTGGAATGGATAGAGAAGCAAGCAGCAGATGAATGTAAACAAACAGACACATCATATATGTGCGTCACGCTGAGAAAATGCTAGTAGAAGTGCAGACGCTGCTTAGATTGACGAGAATACGTAAATTCCCCTATGTATATATTCATTGCACGAATCAGGAAACCATTCTCGGGAAATCGTATCTTAGTAGATCTATCAATAAATCAAGAGAAATACCAACCGATGGAAACTAACGGTTTTAAATTGGCTCACTACTTAACTAGCCTATTGGTCCCAAGAAAATCGATTAACGTACCCCATTCTAGTCGACATTCTAGTACTACACTTGTTTGTTTTGATTTGCTATGAAAGTTTGACAGATAAAATGAGGGGTTCGTGGATTTTCCTATGTTTCGAGAGGTGCATCGATTAGCTTGGGACCGAAGAGAGTACCAGAGCTGAGCCAAAAAGTTGAGCACGTTTCTTGGGGACCTTCTGGTCTTAGAGTTACCTCTATGGAAATACCCAGCGGATGCTGTGGAAACTTTTTTGAGAGGTATAAAAGATCTTCCAGAGAACTTCTACAAAAATTGTCTATCGGGGAAAACTGGAAGAAACAACAGGAGGAAGCTGACAAGTACTGTCACACAGTGGGACGAAACCAAAAAAAGTGGGACATGGCCATTGGCGACGAAACTATTGAGTGTAACATTTTGATGTCATAACATTCTAGAGTTTCTTCATTTTTTGAAAACTTTATTTGAGTGGTGAAGATTTTTGATTAAGGGGGATTTAGATTAAAAAAAAAATAACTTTTTTATGTCTTGTTAAAATTGATGGAAACATTCTAGATGAAGTAATTTTAAGAAACTTTGTCCAAAACGACAATTTTCTATCTCTCAACTGGACGAAGTTATAGAGTGAAAATGGAGTACAAACGGTAGTACCATAGAGGTAACTCTAAGACCACTGGGTCCCGAAGAAAATCATTATTATTTTTGGCTCACTCAGTACCAGAACAACGGTCCCAAGCAGTCCCAAGCTATTTCACTCACCCCTGCATGTTCTGCATGAATCCACACACCCCTGATGTTATCTGTCAAACTTTCATAGCTAATCAAAACAAACATAGTGTAGTAATAGAATTTCAACTAGAATAGGGTACGTTAATCGTTTGCTTGGGACCAATAGGCTACTAAAGTGGTGAGCCAATTTAAAATCGTTAGTTTCGTATTGATTGTTGGTAGTACCAACCAGTGGAAACTAACGATTTTAAATTGGCTCACTACTTGACTAGCCTGTTGGTCCCAAGCAAATCGATTAACGAACCCCATTCTAGTCAAAATTCTAGTACTACACAATGTTTGTTTTGATTCGCTATGAAAGTTTGACAGATAAAATGATTGGTTAGTGGATTTTCCTATGTTTCGAGGGGTGAATCGATTAGCTTGGGACCGAAGATAGTACCAGAGCTGAGCCAAAAAGTTGAGCACGTTTCTTCTGGACCTACTAGTCGATCAACAGCACAGGGATTTTCGAACATCAAGTAATTATAAAATTATAGCATTTGCATATAAAAATATTAATTTAAAACT